TGTCGAGCGATTTAAACGTCGAATCGACTCGCAGTAAAACAGAGGACGAATATGCTCTGATGGGAATACAGAGAGAGATAATTGGCACGCCATTTGAACAGATCGCGAAAGGACCGCAGAGTAGGAACAAGAGCAAAGCACGTAGTAAAAAGAAGGAGGACCCGGAAATGATTGCTACTCTTGGTCCGATCCCTACGAACTCCAACATCTTCAAGGGCACGTCATTCATCCTTACTTGCATACCCTTAGAGAAACTGGAAAGGTATCTTTTACTTATTTGGCAAATGAACGAGAGTCTTCATTCTAATAAGAATTAATGCTAGACATTCGAGGAATTAACATGATAAATAATAAAGATATACAGTAACTGCCAAAAGATCAGTGAGTAATTTTATTGTATTGATCATATCAGATGAAGAATCTTTAAAATAAAGATCTAGCATACAAGTATTTAATGTTCTTAATATACAGGATGTTCCATTTAACATAACACCCCTTTTATCTTTGCAGGATAAGGTCAAATAAAAATATATTCAGAATTCAGACAGAACTGTTTGGCTTGATGAAACATAAATAATGGCAATATCAATTTTTTATGGAAACCATCACTATTTTTTTCAAATAGAATTCTATGATTTTTTTTACATAATGTGATTCTTCTAAATATTCTACAGATAAATATATTAAGGTAGAGATATTATCAATATTTTACGATTTAAACTATTGATTTTTAACATCTCTATCTCAATACTTTTACACGCAGAATAATTAGAATAACATTAAGATAAAACGGGTGGTCACATTAGGTGGAGTATTCCAATATTTAAATATCATGTTTTTAAATTGATTAAAAGAATTTTATTAACTTATAATTTAAATTGAAAACAATTGACAAAAATGATCGTAAAATTATATGTTGGCCGAAAACTTTCGGCAGCTACTATAATAATATAAAAATATTAAAAAATAAACAAACTACAGCTACCTTTCTTAAGACACAAATCATTATCCGCATTTTTTGTTTAAATTAAGAATTCATTATCCACTAACTCATTCTGTATTATTTCAGGTATCAGGATACGAAGACCAACGCTGGGTCGAACACGGAAACAGAAGCTGAAACGGATCTCGAAACAGAATACGAGGACGATTGGGTGAAGCGACATTTTGTACGCGAAAGACTTCACGAGCAGATCTTAGCAGGCGGCGGGAAGATCTATGAGGATTTTGAGAAGATACCAGAGAACGAGTACGAGAACACAATACTCATCACGAATGTGCCAAGTACCACAGCAAAGAATATATTATGTCTGTCGGCCGGCATTAAAATATGCAATCATGAATATATCATCAGATGCTGTTCAGAGGTAGCGCAAGATCCCTTATTCTCTACTTAACTCCTTATCTGTTTAATGTAAAGAAAATACGAATTCTCTCTCTCTCTCTCTCTCTCTCTCTCTCTTTCAAAACAGATTATTATTTCTTTATCCCTTTACTCATAATTACCATTATTCACATAATTTCCATTTTCTTAATCAAAAAAAGAAAGATTATAGACTTAAGATGATTCTTTAGTCATTTGAATTATTATAGAAATGTCAAATTTTTTTATATAATTGAAGTTGAAGTACTGAAATTGACGTGTGCAAAATTCTATGGTAGATGAATTATGAGAGAAAAAAAATTGAAAATGTAATCTTTCACATATGACTTAGCGACAAATAAAGCTCGCAGACGCTTCTTTGACTTCTTCTTCTTTTATTATGGCTCCTGCCTCCAGTAGATCACAAAGTCGATACGGCCAGAACAAAAACGTGTAAAAAAAAACGGAAGAGTGAGATGTAATGCCCGCCCGGACAATGAACGCCTGCGTTATGCCTTTACGGACGCGCATTAGGACGGGTCGCAAACAGACGGGTTTTGTACGGGTCGTACAAAACCGCGGGACAGCTATATGTTTCTGAAGGCCCAATTTAAGTCGGCAACACTTTCAAAAATATAAGATAAAAGCACCCCGAGCCGAGACGTCTGCCGCGAACGAGTGATTCTTCAGAACTGCTTCTTTAACTAACTGCACACAAATCTTACTATAGATTTTTCTCAAAAACGAGATTGTAATAGTTTAAAAAATTACGATTTTAATGGTCACAAAAAAGTAATAGGTCAACGGCCATTCTGGAAAGATATTTACGTCCATAAACTTGCATATAAATTTAATCTCGAAAAGTAAACACAAACATCTCAACTTGTTTTCGTTCGATGAAGCTGTAGCTCTTGATTTACCATCATGTTCCATACTATTAAGATATACATACATAGTTTTAATATTTTATCCAAATTATGCAGATATTTGTAATTTTTGGTGAGCCCTAGGGAGGCACTCTTTTTAGCACTTTACTAAAGAACCCATCTTAAACAAATATAACTAAAATTACAAATCTTAGGCAGTGTTGTTCTAATAAATCTAGATAACGTTATTTAGTATTAAAGTAAATTTTATTTAAAAAGTTTATTGCATATACTTTATATTTTTATTATATACATCTTCCTTTCATAATCTTATTTCAGTATAGTTTCTTTTACGATATTTTCGCTGTATGTCATACCATGATTTCGTCTATTATTGTATTTGATTAAATTGCCAACAATTGCGTCACGAGTAACAGTCTCACATTTCATCGTATGTTTTTAGAAAAGGACCATAAACAAGGCGGAAGTTGCTCTTCCAAACGGCTGGAGTTTGCAGAGAAAAGTTTACGTAGAAGGGCATGATGCACATACAAAGAAACCGTTGTCAAAAATCGTCGTAATAATTCCTAGTCTGGCATCCATCAATTTGCCACAATTTGCCACATTCTGGCGGCAAGTCTGCGAGCATGCGGGCGCGGTAGTTATAATCGCGGAGAACCCAGGTATTTTATTTCGTCATCAAGAACTATAAGTTCCTTTAAAGCAAATTTACTATTCAGCAGCTACCGATATACGTATAATATTAAGATAAAAATATACATGGTTTATTAAATGTGTAGAAATTCAAATAAAATTGTTTCACACGCGTATGTTATCTCAAATTACAATTAATAGAAAAACTTATCATATCTTTTTTTTTCTTTTTTTTAGATGCCATGGAGACGAATTTTGCCGATACTGTGGTCGTGTCTAACTGGAAATGTCCATCGTGGGCACAGAAGAAGGCCATTCAATTAAATATTCCAATCTTGTCCACCACGTGGGTGGTCCAGTGTATAATCGAGGGTAAACTCTGCCCACAAAACCATCCACGTTACAGATATACTTGTATACCAAATTAGGAGTTTTCATTAATTAGAAAGCTGTTGTTTTTATAATCGTGAGTAAGTCACCTATGATCAATGTGGCTACTAGAATATATTTTCTTTTGTTTTCCAAATTTTTTCCATTTTTTTTTTCCGGCCTTCCATATATTGCAATAAGAAATGAAAGGATAACTTTACGATCCTAAATCTTGATATTTTTCGAATTCCTTTTTTTTATAATATTACTCTTTTTATAATATTTTTAATAGTTTCTGATACACTAGAACGTACACGATATATTGTCTACATTGTATTTTCTCTAGACACATCCCCGAGTTATTCTTTCTATCTTATATTTGTACGTTTGATATGACTGATCGATATAATTCATGCATTTTTATATGGCAATTCATCCTCGTATGAGGATGTATACGTGTAATGCTTTACACTTTTGTAAGATTTTGTATAAAAATAGACGTATTTGCGGGAACCGCAGGTCAGTTTTATAGAATATTGAATCCTCGTCGTGTGTAAAGCATCTTAAGAAATCGTACCTTTACGATAATTCAAGCATAATCGTGCCCCGTCAAATTGCACTTATATGTAGATAAGAAACACGAGATTGATTTTCGTCAATGCAGCCGATATTCTCGAGAAAACGACATGGAATCAAAAAATTCTTACTCCGCTTTCTATCGATTTTTTATAAACGGGCACGTTTACGTGTCTCTCATTTAACGACATTAATGCTCGTTTCTATTAATGTATTAATTTTAATCTTGTTCAATTTGCTCTTCATCCCTTTCTAGTCCTAAGAATTAGAAAAAGATGAAGAGCTCAACCGAGATCAAAATTAATCTACATTGGTAGAAACAGACATAGACTCCTGTTTTTTCACACGTGGAATTATATGAGAGATCAGAAACGAGGTGATTTTGTTTCCTTACAATGTAAATTATCAAATTCAAGATAAATTAACTTTTTCGCACTCATTCGATAGTATATTCATTCTCTCTAAAAATATAAGATATATAATACATTTCTACATAAAAAAAATGATATATAAGAACGAACTTCCGATTTCCGGCTTCTGACCTGTCATAATTCAGTTACAGCGAGAGAAAACAGAAGCCTTAAGAGAATATTTTTATGAAAGATAAAAACTACCTTGATGGACACGATATTAGAAACGTAATTGGCAAAACTCAAGTTTTATTAGTAAGAAGTAAATTACCGAGGTTTTTGTACGTGCCCATGTGCGAAGATGCGTTGTATATAAGTAAATATATACTATATAAATTTTATTACATTATATGTGTATATATATATATATGTACAGGGGATTGACAAAATAATATGTGAATTACTTGAAAGATATCGGAGGAGGAAATCTCACTCTGCTCTTCAAAACTTTAAATAACTTAATATTTCAAAGCGATTAAATGCCAAGAAAGATGTTAAAGTTTTAAAGAACAGAGAACAATTTTGAAAAATAGAGTGATAAGTAAATTTCCTTCTCCAATATTATTTATGTAAGCAATTGAAAGATGTTCTATCTACTTATTTTATTAATAATAAGTTGGCGTTTAA